TCTTTGTATGATCGTCAAGCCGTATGACAATCCGAACAGAGAGACAAGGAGGAAGGTGTGCATCAGCCATAGCTGTTCTGTTGCAAAAGAGGAGGCTGAAGAAGCCAAGGAATGACCAAATGCTGCTTTCAAACTTCAACATCATTCTCAAACCCATGTTCTGTACCCTTTGCCCTGTGTGCATGCTCCACATCTTCTTTGTTGGCTGCCTGTTCAGATGCTGTTTCGAAGCACAAGAATGTCTCATGCATTTTCTTTTTTAAAAAACAAAACCTAGACATTTATATTAAAAAAAATTGCTACGTAGCTCCATCGTTGTCCTTAAAACAGAAGCGTTTCTTTTTCTCCTTTCTACAATGACATCTTTTCAAAAATTTAGGAGCAAAGAGCAAGCCTCTCTTCATGAATTGCAACAAGTAGCATCTTTTGGAAGGAGTTCCTTTTTTTTTTTTTGTTATAACAAAGCCCTAGCAGAGCTACATTTCAAAAGCAATGTCACATAGTGCAAAGTATCAGCTCTTATGCCTTTTGCAGGGTAGTGTTTAAAGAGCACTTGAAAGCATTTTTAGAGGTGTTCTGATGAGAATTTTCCAGGGCCCGGTTCTCAAATCTGTTAAAACCCCTCTTGCATCCTCATTCTGTCTTCTGGGTTGGACTGGATGACCCTTGGGCATCCCAACAATATGATTCTCTGTTTCTAATTTACAGCTGAAGACTGGGCTAAACTGCTGCAAAACTCTCTGTCATTTAGAAAAATGGTTCGAGGAAGCAGATGGCAACAGTTCATTTGAAATGCCTGCTTTGAGTCATTTGTTTATGGACGGCTGTTCATCCCCTGACCTTGTTCCCAGAAGGCCTGGGGGAGCCGAACAAGCCAAAAACAAAATCAGAGCAAGGAAAAGGACAGCCATTTCCCCTGGAAAATAAGAGCTGATCTGATAGAGAAGACACTTTCCAAATCTCAAGGAAAGGCATTGCCTTCATTCTTATAGGTAATGCGGAGGAACCACAATTTTAATTCAAAAAGAAAGGAAGTTCACACTTGTCAACATTTTAATGCGACATTCCGCAAGGAGGACCAATTGAGGGACAAAAGAAAGGGCAGGAATTTGCTAGGAAGAGAGAAGAGGCTTAGGAGCAATAGATAGGCTCTGTTACAAGGCACAGTCTTGCTTACCCTCCAACTATTCTATTGGCAGGGACAGTCCCAACTAATCTAATGCCTTCCCATTTTTTTCAGCTGATTTTAAAATGTCCCAGTTTCTCTCTCTTCCTCCTACTTTCCTCCTTAATTCTCAGCTTCCTTCAATTGCTGCAAACTTAGTTCAAAGTGCAAAAGTTGTTTGCACTCTACTCAGTGGAGGAAAGAGGAGAGGGCAGAATCTTGCCCTTCCCAGTCGGCTTGGGCAAAAGCAAATTGCCGCAGCCTCTTCTAGCTTGTCTGTTCTCCCTCATTGCTACCTTTTGTCATCTTGACCTTACTGGGATGTTGCTCGGCCTGGTTTTCATCTGTGAAATTCTTGAAGCTTTGCCAAGGAGCCAGCCTGGTGTAGTAGTTTGAGTGGTGGGACTAGAACTCTGGAGACCGGGATTTGAATCCCTGCTCAGCCATGGAAACCCCCTGGGCAACCTTGGGCAAGTCACATTCTCTCAACCTCAGAGGGAGGCAAAAGCAAACCCCCTCTGAACAAATCTTGCCAAGAAAACCTCGTGATAGGGTTGCCGTAAAGTCGGAAATGACTTGAAGGCACATAACAACAATGCAAAGGCCTCCCAACTGTTCCTTAAGGGACTTGGGTCACGCTTTTGCAAATCCATGTGACATCTTGCGCTTTCAAGCTCGCCTGGTTATGCTCTGTTTTCCACCAGCTTTAAAAGTCAGCTTGGAATATCTGAATGGAGGCCACTGTCATGGCTGCTGAGAAAAAAGGCCCAGCACTTTGCAGTAAAATCCTTTTGCTGGGGCTGGACAAAAGGAAGGAGTGGCATGAGGCCCCTTGTTCTTTGGATGAAGGTATGAAAGGCAAACATGTTTTAAATGACTATGGGAGAGGGGAGTTTGAAAAGAGACCTTTTTGTTCTGGCCAGCCTTTGGCAGCTCAATGGGGCAGATGTCAAAGCAGCCTTTAATCTCGGTGGGTGTAGCCTTGAAAACTACAGATTCTTTTTTGAGTGGTTTTCCATGGCATTTGCTTGAATTTGGCTGTGAGGTTTTTCATTTCCATCTGTTTGATTCATTTTATGGTTGGATCCCTTGTGAGCCTATATACCTCAAAGGTACCAAGCCCTGTCTGATACTGGAAGTTCAGCAGGGTCAGGCCTGGTTAATACTTGGATGGGAGGCCACTAATGATACTAGGTGCTGGACGCAATATTTCAGAGGAAGGAACTGGCAAAACCACCTCTGAGAACTTGCCTAAGAAAACTGAAATTCTGCATTCTTTGCCTCCTCTCCCCCCCCCCCCCATGTAGGGTTTTATACCTCTGACATTGCCCTGAGCTAGCCTGCCCATGGATGATGGGCACTGTAGTCCAGCAAGATCTGGGATGCCATAGTTGGAAAAGGCCACAGGATATCCCTGTTCCTTAGACCGTGGTTTCAGTTGTGCTTTGTTCATGGTTCAGGACTGCAAAGATGTAAGAGTTGCTCTCTAGGGTTCCTTATAAGAGAACCGTGTGTTAACACACAGGGATGGGTGTTATTGTTCATAGGACAGATTGAACATGCCAAAAACAGTTTTTAAAAAATGCTTTATTCAAATGAGAAAATCCCATCTACAAACACTTTGCTCAGCCCTCCAGAAGGATCACTGGCGCTCCTTATAACAGGAGCAAAAAGGGACATACTGAAAACAAGTAAAATCCAGCCAAGTGGGAAGCATTTGAATCAGATACTCCGCATGAGACCTTTTCACCAAGACACTTCTGGTTACCATTAGAGCAAATCTCAACCTACAAAAATAGTTCTGCCCTGACAGTACAGTTTAGGCCTCTGATGCTGGTCAGAACAAGTTTCTTAGTTGTAATGGAAGGAGGCACTGATCCCAAAACAGGGAAGCCCTGCTTCTCTTTCTCGATCTTGTGTAGTTGGTTCCTGGCCCTCACTGCCTTGTTCCCTACATAAATTTTCAAATACACAATCTCCCCCCACTCTTCCCATATCCCAAAAGATACACACCTACTCTTTCCTGTTTCTTACTTGCTCCCAACTCCAGGGTGTAAGAATGGGAAGAGTTCAGCCTCCCTTCCAATCTGAAACCCCAACCTGCCTTCCCCAACCCAAAATGGTGTCAGGAACCAAATGTGCCAGCCACACACACTCCCTAACTCTTACCAACACCAAGAAGCAGATGTAAATATAAAGGGGGAGGGCAGCATGACTTTTCCCATAGATTGCCTTCCCCATAAAAATCACACTGTTGTCCCGACTGGTGTAACAGCAGAACAGAAGGGTTAGAAGAGAGGAGGCAATTTGGAGAGAGGCCAATGCCCAGTCTGGGTATTGGTGTTGTTCCTACCACCAACTCTGGCCAATGGCTTGCCTCAATAGGAAGTGCAATGGAAGACTTGCTGTCTTTTGCCTGGCTTGATATCCCAGCTTCCTCTGGTTTAACTCTGACGTCTGAGGCTAGTGTAGTGAGAGAGTGACTCTGTTCCTTCGTACGCAACTGGAATCCTAAGGTCTGCCTCCAACCACATCTTGGAATGGTGACTTGCTCTACTGGAGGCAAGAAGAAGCCAAACAGAGAAGGGAACTAGGATCACAGCCCTCTCTCTCTCTCTTCCTCTTCCTTGTGGCTAGAAGTCCTCATTGAACACACACATTCAGGTTGGTTCTTGTTTCCTCCTGTTGGCACTTGCTCCATTTCTGTGGCGACTGGAGAAGTCATTCCATGCTCCTTGAGCAGTTTCTGCATAGCCCTAACTTCACATCTCAGCTCCTGGCAAGTGAAAAGGATTCCTTCAACACTGGGCACCTTCCTTTCTTCCATGGATTCCAAAATATGGAGGACAAGGATCGCCTTGACCACCAGTGTTGCAACGGCAATGTGGACTTTTGGACAAACCAGAGCGTTCAGGTGCAGGGAAGTATTGGAACCTGAAACATGGAAGAGAGATTTGAGCATTCCTGGTACAGTGTGCCACTAAGGTTGGCCAATATATCCTTCTCCCCACCACCATCACTTTTCCACTACTGAAGTCCAGTGTTGTTGCAAAATGGGGACCCTCTCTGCCTTCCCTTCTAGGAGATGCCCTGCCCTGAAAATTTGCAGAATGCTGTGATGCAAGGAGGGCACTCTGAAAGCCTTCTGCACCATAGCGGGCCGGGTGAAGTTGCCACTGAATTTGAACGGTCGCCAGAACTCGTCCCGTAAAACCCCCAGAAGTTGCACAGCCCTTTCCCAACATGTTAGCCACCATACATCTCATTAGTCTCGATGTCATCATGCTAGCCCTGGCTACGCAGAGGAAAGCCCAAGACTCTGCCTATTCTGGAACAAACACCAAGTCCAACTTCACATTTGTTCAGGCCTTCAGACTAAGGTTGTCAGAGGAAAAGCAGGACAGGGATCCCATACTTGCTGCGCAGAAGGGGGATTTCAGCAGGTGTTATCTGGTTGCAGAACAAGCCAGACCTGCTGAAATTCCCTTTTTTACACAACCATTAAAGGAACAGGAACTCTCTCCCATTTTCACTCTGGCAATCCTACTTAACAGTTTTCCTTCATCAGCAGCCTTGACAACCACCACGCCTCCTACATTTCTGTATCCTAAGATGTCATCAAGCATTCAGTGGCTAGGTCAATTTATGCAGAAGAATGAGGTGGTGGAGTTAGCCATAGAAAGCAGAATTTGGGTAGGAGGGATATATGTGCTGAATGGAAAGTACTGGAAGAGGACATAGCTGGTTGGCACACTAGGCAAGATCCTATTCTGTTGCATGTGCATAATACAAAATTCCCAAAATGAAATTATGTGCATATCCAGGTGCTGGGAGAGCCAGCGTGGCATAGTGGTTTGAGCACAAGACTTGAACTCTGAAGATCAGGGTTCAGTTCTCAGCTTAGCCATGGAAACCCACTGGGTGACCTTGGGCAAGTTACACACTCTCAGCTTCAGAAAAACCATGATAGGTTCACCTTAGGGTTACCATAAGTCAGAAACGACTTGAAGGCACACAGCAACAACCAAGTGTTGGCCTGGAAACTTGACTTTAAGGTGTATGTTCACAGCTTGAAGGACTAGATCTTTTTTAAAAGTGGAGTGCAGATATTTCTAGGCTGCTGAATTTCATGACCAAGCCCAATTCTGATGCTTATGCAGACGTCCCCAAATCCTGGGTGTTGGTCAGGCTCCAGTTCATTCATATCCTTCTTAACATGCAGCACCCACCTTGGCTCCACCACTGCTTGCAATGCTTGAGGCTGGAAAAGACCTCTGGTCCAGTGGCTTTCAGCCAGCTTTGTATTACCTCCCAAAGCTCTGGAGAGTTGGATGCCCTGTTGTGCAGGTGGAGGAGAAAGGGCAGAAGCATTTGGGAGAAGATCCCTGGCTCTGCATAAACATTTGCCTCATCTTCTTTATACAGGCTGACAGCCCTGTGTGCAGAGACAGAGAGAAAGAGAAATGGACAAACTCCTTGATCTACGCCAGCTTTCCCCAACCTGATTCCTTCCTCATGTATCCAAAGCTGTGTTGGCCGTACAACAAAGTACAAGAACATCCAAAATCCACAAGACTGCAATACCTTTATAGGACCAACCAAAATGCATGAAATACATGTTGTAAGCTTTCCAAAGCTCCACCGGCCTCTTCATCAGGCAAAGGTGTTAAAAAGCATACAGGAGAAAGAAAATTACTGAGATAAGCTCATAATTTGATCTTGATGGTCTTATGCAGTACTGATTTACTTTTTTGGACATTTATTTGTTTTATGCTGTTTTTCAGCATTGGTGATCCTCTTGCTCTGTGACTCTTAGCACCTAAGACCTTGGCTCTTTGTTTGACTGAAACCATGGGCACCACCGCCATTCAATGCTAATTCTATTAAGCTAGATAGAGCATTGATCCAAGTCAGTGCAATCCAAGCTGGAAAAGAATTGGACAGATTCTCTAATGCTTGGCTCTCCATTGAACCACATATTACTAAGTCCCAAAGTTTCTGGGTCTGAGCCTAACGAATGTCTCTTTAACCACCTGAACTATGTTTTCTACCCTTCCATGTTTAGAAAGCAAGCTCTTCATCCATCCCCAGCAACCTTCCTTCAGTTACTTACCCCTTGGCCTCCAGCTTGGTTAAAGCACTGCTGAGATTTATTGTGGGGAGATGATGCACCAAAGTTGCAAAAGTCTCTGGGAAACTCCCAAATTTTTCCAGCAGGAGATGCAGCAGGCCTAGCAGGGCTTTGTTTGTTTGCAGCCAAATGCAGTCATTTTGAGGTGGAACCACAACAAGGCTGGCAAAGATGGCAGCTTCATGCCTCACTTCATGGTCTTCATCTTGCAGGAGGCCAATTCCTGCGTCAATCAGACTGTGTGAAAAGGAAACGTTTTTGAAAATGTTGGATGTAAAAAGGTGGGATCTTAAACAGATCAGGGAGGGAGATGAGGGAGAAATTGATTCAGTGTTTATCTCAGTGCTAACTTACCTACTACACACGTCCTGAACCTTTATGTGAACCAAAATAGATGAGGAGCCTTATCACATGAGAAAAGAAAGCCAAAATGGAGCTGGAGGAGAAATGGCTTTCTTGGGTTTTTGGGTTCCCACAATTCCCTGAAATTTGCTAGGTCAGGGGCATTGTGGGAAAGAAGCGTAGCCAGATCCACCTGCTTGGTGTTGCTAAGAGTGCCAAGGGCCGAGGGAAAACAGAGGCTGCATCTGCATTGCAGGGGGGAAAAATCACACTGCTTTAACTGCCATATCTCAAGGCTATGGAATGCTGGGTACTGTAGTTTGCACTCTGGTGCCACAACAAACTACAGTCCCCAGAATTCCATAGCCTTGCGCCACGGCAGTTAAAGTAGTGTCAAGCTGGATTATTTCTGCAGTGAGGATTGCAGCCCAAGTTGGGGCTAGTCATTTCTCAGGGATCCCAGCAGCTGCCCAAAAGATTCCAGACACTGGTGCCTGCCTTGTAGTTAACGTACCGTAGAGCCACTCCACGAAGGGCTGAGCTGGAGGAATCCTGGGCTCTCTGAATCAAGTCTCTGCCTGCTATTTTCAGCGATTTGGCTGCAGACCTTCTGAGTACTTCCGACGAACAGGCTTTGCTGCAACGTTCTACTAGTGCAACCCATTGGTCCCATAAAGAATAATCCTCACTGCTGTCAGAAGAGAGAAGAAATAATAAGTAAGTAAGTAAGCAAGCAAATTTATTTGTGTAGCATAAGCCACATCTCCTTGTCTATGAGACCCTTGTTGGAGATTTGTCAGCTTTGTTGTTGTTGTGTGCCTTCAAGTATTTCTGACTTATGGCAACCCTAAGGCAAACCAATCACAGGGTTTTCTTGGCAAGTGTCTTCAGAGGAGGTTTGCCATGGCCTTCCCCTGAGGCTGAGAGCATGTGACTTGGCTAAGGTCACCCAGGGGTTTTCCATGGCTGAGGTGGATTCGAACCCTGGCCTCCAGGGTCATAGTCCAATTGGTATGGGTTTTTCTCCCATTCTAAAAAGTGGAGATGCCTCTCCGAAGGCTTCATGACTGGCAATAAGAGTTTCAGGCTGAAATAAGTTGGTCTTGGGGTCTCACCCACTTGCCTTTGGATCTGCTCCCCATTGGAATGGGGCCCTGTAAGTTCTCTCCATGTGAATTTGTGGGCTTGAGATGAAAGAGGTTCCCCACCACTGATCTAGCTATTTGTTTTAGGTAGTCGGATACAACTTTTCAGGAAAACTCCAGAAAGCCCTTTATGTACTAATATGAACTTCATAATCTACTTACTTCAGGGTCAGGAGGAAAGCAACCACACACAGCACAAGGCCCTGAATCTCTGGGCTGAGCTGGCCCCTTTCCACCATAGATAAGAGGATTTCCCTGCACCCGGCACCCAGCGGCTTCTGGGGAAAAGGTCCATTTTGAAAGGAGGGATCCCCACAGAGGTGCACAAAAGCTTCCAGGTACAATTTCAGAAGCACATAGTCAGTCTTTTCTTTCAGCACCACTTCGAGATTCTCCTAGTCGATGGAAGAGAAAAGAGATTTAGAGTAAAGAAAAATAATCATACAAATAAAAGTTAAATGATGCACAACCACAACTGACATATATTTGTTGATCTGTTGTCGTTCCCCACCTCGATTCATGGAGAAAGGTGGGTAAGAAATAAATATTATTACGATATTAAAATAATTAACAATTCTACCGCTCTCTCATGACACCCCATATCTGTTGTAGATGACCACCACATCTGCAGTACGGTAGGGCTGGCCCTTGTCTTGTTGACTTTGTTCTCTAGGATGTCTCATCATCTCAAAAGGCCCTTTTGTCCAGAACTCTTTTCTATAAGGGACTGTACTAAAATGACCTTTTGGGATCCTTCCAACTCTGTGGTTCTACACATGAGACCTCGGTTTCTATCTCCTGTGAAGACACCAGGGCTCACCAGCAGGGTTAGATGCAGGTCCTTCCTTAAATTCAGGCTCAATCTCTCTTGCTCTTCAATCACCCAGGTCAAGATGGCTCCTTGGACATCAACGTTTCCCCTTCGAAGGAACCAGTGAAGCTGACCAACTCTCTCAGGACATGCCAGCCTGGTTGCCTCGTGGCAAAGGAAACGGACAGCATGTTGGTAGAAGGTAGCCAAACCGACCTGGGACAGAAGGAGAAAAGCTTAAAAATGGAGTTTGGGTCTATTTGGTGGTGTAGTAGTTAGAGCAGTGATTCCCAAACTGGCCAGGTGTTTTGGATTTGAGTTCCCAGAATCCCAGATCATTGGCCACGTTGGCCAAGCCTTCTGGGAGGTGAAGTCGAAAACACTTGGAGAACCAGAGCTTGGGAGTCACTGAGTTAGAGTATTCAACCAAGACAATCCCCACTCAACCCCTCATCCACCAAGGCCAGTGGCAATTCTCACTCACAACTTGGAAGTAACATAGTTTTCTGCAATTCGTTGCTTTTGGGGTAACCAAGATGTAAAGAAGCTACATATCGAAGTACCTAGCACTGTTGTTGTTGTATGCTTTCAAGTTGTTTCTGATACAACCATAAGGCAACCTTGTCATGGCAAAATTTGTTCTAAGGGGGTTTGCCTTTGTCTTCCTCTGAGGCTGAGAGAGTGGGACTTACCCAAGGTCACCTAGTGGATTTCCATGGCTGAGGAGGAATTCAAACCCTGATCTCCCAGCATCCTAGTCCAACACTTCAAGCACAATACCACTCTGACTTTAACTAGCATGAACAACGCCAATTGCAGTTTAAGTGGTGTCCAAGTGCATTAATTCTGTAGTGCAAATTAGATCTGAGGCTGCATCTGCACTGCAGAAATAATGCAGTTTGACAACACTTTTAATGTCCATGCCTCAGCATTATAGAATCCTGGGACTCGTAGTTTGCTGTAGCACCAGCACTCTCCGATAGAGAAGGCGAGATAGCTCACAAAGCCACAAATCCCAGAATCCCATAGCATTGAGCCATGCAGTTAAAGAGGTGTCAAACGGCATTATTTCTGCAGTGCAGATGCCACCTTAGTCATATGTAAACTATATTTGTGTTTAATACAAAAAAAATTAATAAAGCACTTTATCCCTGTTCCTTTCATCTCCTAGCCCGACTTTGGGCCAGGGGCTTGTGTGCGTGCCATTCATCCATCCACTCCATTCCATCTGAAGAAGTGGACGGGAATCTGCAAAAGCTCAGGCTAAAATAAATCAGTTTTGTTGAAAAGTACTGCTAAATCCTCCCCTCTAAATCCCCTTTCCTTTGGAAGTCATTAATCGGAGGTACCTGAACTGGTGAGATGCTTTGCATTTTGGTGAGCTTGCAGTCATCCAGATCACGGCTCACAATCTTCCAAACCTGCTGGGCAAAACTTTGGGAACAGTTCCCTATCAGAAGGGAGATGGCTTGGAGATA